GCGATCAATGTCCTCGCGGGAGGCAAGCAAGGTGGCGCACGCAAATGGGACTTCTTCACGCAGTCCTTCTGTTTTTGTGCCCCCCCCGCTCTCGCCCCCCCGGCTCGGTTNGTTGCTACATTACTTCCTCAAAGGTACCAGCCTCCATCAGACCTCTGAATTCTCTCTCTACAGAGTCTACCCACAAGTCAGCATACTCAGAGGACACAACCTCCCCATAAGTGTTGGGCACGCGCAAGTCGTTGGCATAGCAATGTGGCAAGTCCGGTACCACTTCCGGGGGATTTAAATCCCTCATCGTGCGATCAATGTCCTCGCGGGAGGCAAGCAAGGTGGCGCACGCAAATGGGACTTCTTCACGCAGTCCTTCTGTTTTTGTGCCCCCCCCGCTCTCGCCCCCCCGGCTCGGTTCCTTCACGTCCTCCGGCTGAACTCGGGATCTCCTTTCTCCCCCTATCGACGACGCTGCGAGTGGTGAGAGTCGACAGGAGCGTTGCCTTGTCCTGCAGGGATACAAGCCCGAAGCGGTGGGCGGGAGCGTCGCCGCTCCCGCCAGGTGACGTCGACCGCTCGGTCCCCCCATCCTGGAAACGCACCCCCCGACCCCTCAATCTCCCTGGCACCCGCGTCTCTCGTCCCAAGTCCAGCTCTCGATTGACCCTGGCAGAGAGGGGCGGCATTGACGACGCCCGCCCCCCCCTTGGTCCTTAGCGGCTGCCCTCGTGCGCCCAGAAACCCTCATGTCCCCGCGCCCCACGTGCAGTTAACGGATGGTCATCGTAGTGAGTGGCGGCATGTTGGTCGATGGCGCGGCACCGGGCGGCGCGACGGCGGGAGACGGTGGCACGACGGCGAACGGCGTTGCAGGCGGCGCGGTGGTGGTGAACGGTGGCGCGGCGGCGAGCGTCGTTGCAGGTGGCCCGGTGACCGGTGGCGATGGTGTGGCTGCGGTAGACGCCGCCGCCGGCGATGGTGATGTGGAAGTTGTCGGCGGCGCCTGTGAGGATATGGCAGCGGGTGAATTGGGATATCGGGCGAACGGTGAGGGGGGTAAAAGAGGCGGTGAAATGTNGCGCCCCGTCGCAAACTTGAGGACCTTGACCACCGACTCGTGATGGTTGTTGCCGTAGGTGAGGTAGCAGCACAGCACTGCCTGGGGATCCATCTTCCGCGCGCGCATCACACCCATGTACCCCGGCTGTAAGAACGGGACGATCTGGAGCGGGGGCGGGCGGCCGGTGAAGAGCCCGTGCGGCGACTTGTACCCGACGTTTGCCTTGGTCGGAGAACGGTTGAAGCCGCCGGCAGCCCAGTGACACGATTCTAGCCAGAGTCGCTCGCCATCGCGCCCGAAGCCGGGGACGCGGGTGAAGTCGATCTTGGGGAACAGGCGGGGTGCCTCGAGACGAGCGGCGTGGCCGGCCTTGTTCACGCGCCAGATCGCACTCTCCGCCGGACCATTCTGCTGCGGGGTGCCCGGCGCCGTGTACGTACGGCGGATGCCGGCATTGTCGCAGACGGCGATGAAGTCGCGGCTGACGAACTCCCCCCGTTGTCCATCCGGAAAGAACGAGGGACACCGGTGCCACTCATGTCGGCGAGGAACTTCTTGACGAAGGCGAGGTTGTCCGACTTGCGCCTCAGCCCGTACAGCTTCATCCACCGCGAGAAGCTGTCCACGAACATGATCATGAAAAACGACCCCCCCAGAGAGGACGTCATCGGCCCACACAGATCGATATGCCAAAGATCGTGCGGCTTCTCCGCGCGCGTGCCCGATTGGTGAGGCACGCCCGCCTTCTTCCCCTTCGCCTGCACACATCCACCACAAGACTGCAGGACACCGGTCAGTCGGAGACCGTGCTGCTTCGCAAGCTCACGCAAAAGAAACTCATTGGCGTGGGAGCACGAATTGTGGAGAAGGTTAACTTNACCGCGAGAAGCTGTCCACGAACATGATCATGAAAAACGACCCCCCCAGAGAGGACGTCATCGGCCCACACAGATCGATATGCCAAAGATCGTGCGGCTTCTCCGCGCGCGTGCCCGATTGGTGAGGCACGCCCGCCTTCTTCCCCTTCGCCTGCACACATCCACCACAAGACTGCAGGACACCGGTCAGTCGGAGACCGTGCTGCTTCGCAAGCTCACGCAAAAGAAACTCATTGGCGTGGGAGCACGAATTGTGGAGAAGGTTAACTTCAATAATCTTGGTGGGTTTCCCCACCGAAAAAGGGCGCTTGCCCGGGGCCATGACGGGGACAGCGAAAGCAACATCATCGAAGACATTTGCAAATCCAGACTCAAACATCAAGTCTGAAAACTCGTAGGGGTCTTCTGATACCTCTCTTTGTTCCGATAGGTACACAGCCCACTCGAAATCTCCTTGCTCTGTGTACGGAATGCATCCACGGTCATCATCGTCATTACTCTCCTGAAAAATGGCGATGTCGGGCGAGGGCAGCGCGGGGACAGCTACCAACTCCATACCATGTGACACTTGAGGAGCGGAAGGAAACACCACACTCCTGTCAGCGGGGGGGGGGGGCATCCATTGCCGGAGGAACGACGCTGCTCGAAGCGGGCGGGAGACCGTATACAATTGATGACACTACGCTGTTTGCAGCGGGCGGGAAACCGGGCACAGTAGAGGGCACGACGCTGTTTGCAGCGGGCGGGAAACCATACACCGTGGAAGGTACGACGCCGGCAGCAGCGGGCGGAGAATTCGACACGGTGGGTTGAACAACACTCCTGGGAGCGGTATGAGGTACAGACATCACCGGAGGCACTACGCTGCTGTCAGTGTGCGGGACACCTGACACTGCGGAAGGAACGTATGCTACACCCGGAGGGGGGGAAAACACCGGTGGGGTTTCTGGCGTCACTCTACCATCACTCGCATGTAAACGTACACCAGCAGCGCGGGAAGGGGGCACCGGGGGAAAAGGCATCACAGGCATAGCCGTGGGCGTTTCATGGTTGGGCGGCAAGCATGTGGCCCAAAGCGACGAACCCCTCCCGCCACGGGGAAAGGTCAATTTGCCATGGAAAAGATGGGTGCCTACATCGTCCAAGGCAACACGTTGCAATCCCTGTGCGTGGTGAAGGGAGAAAAGATTGAACCCCATTCCTTCTACATGACGTACTCGGGTAAGCTTCACGCAAAAGTCTCTACCTTCAAGATGAAACCTCACGTTCAAACATCAGATTCCAAGCACTCGCATGGTCCTGCCATCACCGATCTGCACTCTTTCGCTACCAAGGGGCGGGATGATCACATCGTACATGTTCGTGGCGTCTCCGGTGGTGCGGTTAGTTGCACCGGAGTCTGCAAGCCATTATTCAACTCCTACACGCTCCGCCCTCACAACCGGCATAGAGTTCATCAAGGCATACCCCTCACCACCTACGAATTCACTCGAAATCTCACTCTGGTACTCACTTGACATGTCCCTTACAACACACGTACGCAAAGTCCCCCCTGCCGACGAAGGTGCTCCGGTCGAAGGCGCGGGAGAGGCGTAAGGGGTGGGGACTGGCTGCTGCTGTTGGAAGGGGGGGGATAGGTACTCCGGTTGATGCTGTTGGGGTGGGTATTCGTACACACCGCTCGCGTGCGTCACCGGTTGTTGATAAACACCGGTCAAGTGCGTCACGGCCTGCCCCCCCGTAGATGGTGTTGCCGTCGTCGCCACCGTCACTCCTGCTGCTCCTGGCTCTACCCCTTCTCCGCCGTACTGCTGCGCGGTGTTGGCCTGCCCGTACGAGTGGGCCCACGGCGGCCGCTGGCTGTAGCCACCGGCCGGCGGCCGGGGCGGTGGGGGCCTAGGCGGCGCGTTGGCGGCCGGCATGCCAGCTGGCCTTCCGACATCAACACGCGAAGGACAGAACAGATGGTTGTGGCCGAGTTCACCGCAGTTCTCACACCGCTTGCGAGGGTCATTCGGGTGGATGGGAGGTTCATTTCCCTGCGGGCGGTGCATGTGGGGGGGGTAAGNTAGCCACCGGCCGGCGGCCGGGGCGGTGGGGGCCTAGGCGGCGCGTTGGTGGCCGGCATACCAGCTGGTCTTCCGACATCAACACGCGAAGGACAGAACAGATGGTTGTGCCCGAGTTCACCACAGTTCTCACACCGCTTGCGAGGGTCATTCGGGTGGATGGGAGGTTCATTTCCCTGCGGGCGGTGCATGTGGGGGGGGTAAGCGCTGTAGTCGTAGCCCCGCTGAGGTACAGGGTAGGCGGGGAGGTTGCTGCCCGGCGGTCCCTGGTGAAAAGGGCCCCTGTCCCTCCCACCGGAAGCGGCGCCACGCCCCCCGAATCTTCCTCCTATCGGCTGCTGCTGATGACGTCCTCCTCCAGAAA